CCCCCCCCCCCCCCCCCCCCCCGCGTCTCCTCCGTTTCATCCCTCAGAGCATGCTGAAACAAAAAAATTGAGGGACAGGTGACTTTTTTTTCAAGTTTCCTCAAAAGTTTGCCTACCCTTTCTGTCTACATTCTGCCCGGAGATGTCACACAATTTGCCAGCTATACTGAACAGTTCGGAAAGTACAGAAGCAGTAATTTTACATCCCGTGATCGCTGCTATTATGAAGCGCATGGTAACAAAGTCCTGAACCTTATATCCCCAAACAGGGACTGTAGATGATTTACAAAATAACGATAACCGAAAATTGACGAATAAATTAGTAATGACAGAAATCAGTAACGTATTAATTTTGCTCGCTGTCAAAGGATACCGCCCCACCCATAGAAAGGGAGAAAAAAAGCCCCCAAAAACAAAGCTAAAAGTTAAAATCTCAACTTTTGTAAAATGACTGAATCTAGAGGGTTCCCAGTGGCAGAATCGAAGCCTCGCCCTCAAACATGAGAAAAGCTCAACTTTCCACTATGCCATACTTGCTAAAATTAATCACAAAAGCAAAAAAATCAACTAAAAAAGTGAAAAAGATCACTAAAATGCGAAAAATTTTTACCCACAATGCTGCTACTATTTAGGATAATAACGTGAATTTCAAAAAACGAAGACTAAAAGAGGAGTGCCTACGCTATTTTGGTGTTTTTGATGCATCCCACTTTTCTTGCCCAGAGGAGCTTTGTACGTTACTGAAAAAGATATTACAAGTGGCATTTCGTGAGAAAAACGCTAAAAATGAAGAGAATTTCGGCTGGCTATTTTACCAGTGGCTAGCCAGACACCATTTAATGAAAGAAGAAACAAATCTCTCATCCAGCAGTATCGCACCAGAAAGACTTCCGCCGAAAGCTAAAAAAACAGTACAAACAAGAAAAAAACACGTCCTCACAACACTCAACGAGCGAAACCGAGGCAAGATCGTCACCAGAAAAAAACTGGACATTTTGTAGCCCCAAAGGTCACAAAGAGCCGTTGGTACGCGCACTTAAAAAAAAGTAAGCAGATTCCTGCATAAAGACGCGAATTTTGCTAGAAATTTTAAAAATATCCCCCAGAAAAGCCAGCAAAAATTACAAAAATGCCCGTCTGTTGTAGTAAAATTGTATGCGGGTACCATGTAAATACAAATCCATCAGTTCCAACAGCAGTCGATAACATTATGACTAGCCCATCACGATTCGAAGAATTCAGCTATAACAAAGATAAAAGATTCGATTTCTTCACGGTCCATATCTTTCGAAAAAGGAATTCTTGTTCGCAGTATGCACAGTTGAAGCCATTAAAGTACCAACATTCGTTTTCCGAAGTGAGCAAAATTTCCAACATTTATAAGCACCAAAAGCATACGTACGAAGTGTAGCAAGGAAGAAGCGGGGAAGAGGAAGAGAAAGACTTATCTTTCTTGAAAGAGCCGGTGTACGGAAAGTGCAAAAACCTGCAAAGGCCAAGACTCCAAATTAGCCTAGACAGCGTAAAACCAAATAATAATTTCAAGACCCACATAGCGCTAATTTTGAATAAAAGTGAAACACAAGAAGGAAAGGATCAATCGTTCCATAAGAGGAAATGCCGCACGTTTGCTATGCAACAATCTCATTTACCGAATAATGTTACGCTTCTCTCCAGCAGTGGTAATATTCATAGGCGGATCCAGGAAGGAGAGGGGAAGGGTGAATGGATCTTCTGTTTTCCTCTCTCCCGGCACCGCAGGCACCAGTGCTGCAAAAGTAACGCTAAACCTAAGTAAACTAAAGCCTAAAGTAATTCTAAGTAGTTGTTGTTTACAACTTTATTCCTTAGTTGTTGCATGGTTGCAGGGTGGAAGGGGACTCTCTTTTCCATCCTCCGTCGCTCCCTCAAGGAACAAACTTTTCCACATAGTGGTTTGGGAGCTGCACCGACGATTTCCACCCCAATCCACACCAATACTTTCTGTATTTGCAGCTTAGGGATGAAACACAGAAAGCTAAGTCAACATTCAGCCTTCACACTGGTCCTCACTACATGTCCTGAACCTTTTTCACAACATATGCTGCTTTATTATCTTGTTTCACTCCCTGTTTTCCTGGTCTTTCCTTTCACAGCATTCCATTTCATTCCATTCCATTTCCCCTCTCTTCCCTCTCCTAGGAGCCCGTCCTGGATCCGCCTGTGATAATATTAAGAATTACAAAAATGGCTGCAGGAAACAAAATCACGTGATATAACCCAAGGAAAACGCATACCCATCAACGACTACTGCAAATTTTACAGGAAAGCATCTCCGTGTACCAAAAGGCCATTTTTTTCGCATAGACTTTCGAAACCTCAAAATATCAAAAAAGCAAATTTTTAATTATATTATCATGTTCACGGTCCACATCGTCTTCTTCTAATTCCTCCCCTTCCAGTTCAAATCTCAAATCTCATATTTTCTGCTTTTTATGTGAAAAAATTACTGCACTACATAACTTATGGTTATCGACGCTTGTTCGTTTCCAGTGTGCCAGAAAAATACCAGTTCGCTTTTTGCACCAAAAAATCGGGGCGGCATATAAATGGCGACCAATTTTACCGCATGCTGGGCAAAAAAAACCGTAGTACCAAAGACGGGAACAAGGGCGCTGAGAGGCATAGAAGATCAACCAGCGACCAAGACAAAACCTTACCTAAGCAATGTCCAGGCCAGTACTCCTTGACGCCACTAGGGGTCGAAGGGCGAGAAGAAGGTGGAAATCAGGAGGAAAGCGAAAACTATTCTAGATCCTAACTACGATTTTCGCTTTTTCAAAAACTCAACATGCAAAAAATACCCTCTGTCTTAAGTTCCAAGGTACATTTTTAAAATTTCTCGAGCTCAAAAGTGCGCTTTGGGAGTTCAGGTAAACGAAAAAAGATGCTTTTTACACGTTCGGTTTTCGAAAAAACGAAATTTTCTGACATATTATGCCAGTAATTTTTATGTGCTACTTAACCAGCTGGCTAACTACACCGGCATAAAAATAAGGGCGCTAGCAACACCGTATGTAACAAAAACCTATATCAAGAACAAACGCTCAAAAATTCAACCAGCACCACAAAAACAGCCACAGCGCCTGATTTTATGTTGCAACCGATTGACTTTCCTTTGCCTCCACTTCATTCTCTTGCATTTTGGGGGTACTGTCAACAGTGAATGGGCTTTCGCCAGCCGCTGCATCTTCGGTATCTGAAACAAGAAAAAAAAGTAAAAATTCAAGTCAAGCTGAAAATGATAATTGTGCAAGTCTCTTTGGCAAATTGCCTAGAGTGAATTATCTATCCCACCCCCAAACGAAATAAATGGCAACGCGCACCAGACTAGCCGA